AATACTTTAAAATTATAAAATTTTAATGGATATTAATGTCCTATCAAGATAAATCATATTGCAATATAATTTGTATATACTTTCCTTRCGATATCATTGTCTATTATAGTAACGTCGGAAACGATTTAATTGTACACTTATTTTGTTCACAAACAGTTATATCCACGCTGGTGGGTATTTTGGTATTCATAATAATATTTATTACGGGTACCATTTTGGTCGGTTCACCACGGTCGAAGCTGTATTATTAGCGGACCACCTTTTGCGCCCAATTTAAAATCCGGTGAAACTCAAACCGTATATTGTACCGAGAGCTAACTGCAGCAGACTTACACAGTTCCACGCTTAATGTTGTTCAATAAATATGAAAAAAATCTATTATAATGTTATAGGTATCTATTTCACTATGGAAATAATTCTTTCACGAACGTAGATGATGGATTCCAAACAACAAAACGTTCACAATAATACACGCATAATATTAAATAGGTAGGTGATGCCTAATGTTTATCAGCCTATACGTTCTTCGGGCGTACTTACGTGTACGATGTTTTCTATTCTATATAGGTAATGTATTATACTAACCGTTTGATATGATGGTCGTTTTATCTTTTGTCCAGTAATCGATTGATTTGGGATACGCTTCGGACGTACATTCCAAGGTGACCGATTGACCTTCTTGTGCACCGACGAGCTGATTTTGTATCCATATCATGGGAGGGACTGTTGAAAAAAAAAGAAAAACCACATGCACACACAAAAAATAAAATAAATTATTACGAAATCCAATAATCCTGACGGGAAATCGTGGAATAATAATATTTACCACAATATAGGTACATTGTATGCAGTGAACGCGCTCACAACACGCACAGAAAAGCTAATACAGGGTGCTTAAGGATTTTCCGTATAAGCTTTGAAAACGTTGTCACTTTAGTCTTAAATCGAACACCTATTTCACGATTTACGAATGTGGGATTGAGTTTTGTGAAATTGTGATTTTAAAAGGCGCTATTACAAAAGTAATTTAATTKAATTTCAAACATATGACAATACAAGCTAAATACATGACGAGAATATTGTCGCCCAACAAGACCTTCTATATGTAGTTCTATCGATATGAGTCATACAGTTTTCAAGTTTTTTACGTCCATCAGATCGGTCTCACAATAAGCATTTTAAAAAAAAATCAGTTTTTCTAAATATCAACAAATTATAAGTACTTATCAGTCATTATCTAATTGAAGCTATGGAAATATATCGTTGAAAAAAACACACTTCTACAACACATAATGGGTTTTCGATTTCATTCACATAAAAATTAGACCATTTTCAAAGTTTATTCGTATAACTCGGAAACTCTCTGTGTGATATGTTTACATTGTAAGCCGTTTGGACGTTGTGCWTGCGTGTGTATAATATAGCTATGGTGGTTAATTARYTTCACTCACATTGTATGATGAGCATGATACGTTTGCTAACTGATGGTGGAATCCCGTTAGACGCTATGCACAAATATGCGCCCATGTGTAAGCGGTTAACTTTTGATACGTTTAACCATGGCCCGTTCACTGTGGACACTGAAATTTATTAATTTTGAACAAAATTAGAATAAAATACATTCATTGCTCCCTCGTAATTTTAAGCAACAAACCCTTCATGTGTTATGCAAATACCAATAGGTTATCAAGGAGTTAGATACACTTTTTATACAACCTACCCAAACCCATCCAATCAGATTATAAAATATTCGAATCAGTCTCATTAATTATTAATTTGATTTTCAATATATTATTTTAGTTTTTTTGCACTTGGGTACCTAGTAAATAATAATAATAATAATATATATATATATTACACACACACTAATATTAGTTTTATTTTTATTTATTACACTATTCAAAAAGATAATGGTCCACACTAAATATGCTGGTGTGAGGGAACCATACAATACAGGTCTGTACTTATATAGCTAATAATAATGAACTCGTTGTGATCCATCATAGGTACTAGGTATGCACATCACAATAGGAGATATAAAATTTTAATAGTGGACCTTCCTAATAGTACATGTGGATATTAAAAATTGGTACGAAAATTAAAAATTACCTCTCATAAATACATGGTATATGAATATATCTAAAATGTTTAAGTAATTAAAATACTATATTTATCTTTTATAAATTTTGTTCATATTTTAAAATGAGTCGATATACAATCCTGCAGCGTTTGAAGAAGTTTGAAAAAACAATATTTAATTTATTTACAAACATATTTTAAAAATAAAGATAA